GAAAGAGTTTGCTCTGGCTCGTAAACACCTTTGACCTGGACCATTGGTCCGTGACAATTACATAATAGGTAGGTGTGTTTGAGGTGTTCACAAAACAGTATACAGCTGCTCAGGTATTTCAGACTGCTTTTTACCCCTAAGTGAAGAACAAAAAAGAACTTCACTAGAAGTATATCAGTACCTTTAAAATAATTGTTAACACAAAAATTGTAATTGTCATCGTTTACTTCCACGTGTGGACCAGAAAAAAAGGTAATACAGGTTTGGAATGATATGTGGGAGTAAAATAAATTTTCATTTGTGGGTGAACTATCCCTTTAAAAATTATACATAATGTTCAAATTATTCACATGCATAGCACATGACCTGCCATAATGTCAACATTCAGACAAAAGACATTGCCTTCTTTGTAATTACAGAGATTCCAACCCCATCAGAATCAGCAAATGACATCACAGACATCCATGTTAATAATGGTTTAGAAAACTAATCCTGTCTGAATGGAGCTTTTGTCCCACACACACACACACACACACACACACACACACGCACACAGAGAAGAGCATTTGACCAGATGATAATAAATAGCAGATAATATTGGTACATAATGAAAGCCTTGGCCAGTCATAGTTTAATCTCTGCCCCGCAGGGTTTTATGGGAAAACATTTCTGGACCCATTGCAGGTGGGGACAGTAAAATTCAGAAGCGCTCTAATTTTAGCATGTATCTTTAATTGTTCAGCACATGACGTATGACCTCATAAACGACTCGCAGGCATTTGGAGAGTCAACAAAACCAGGAACTTACTGAAGGAAAAAAATGAACCCAGTGCTTTATGACAACGTACGAAAACAGCAGCCATTTAAAAAAAAAAAAAATAATTAAAAAAAACGAAGCACACAGACTTTTATTCTCCACATGTCCTGTTTACTTAAAGAATTCAGAATGTTTTGACCTCGCTGGTATTTATAAACAGCAGATGGAAGTCCCCTTGTCCCCAAAACCCCCTCTGGATGTGAGTTGCAATAAGATGATGTGCATGAAAGCGAGGGACAGAAAGAAAGAGAGATTTTCATGTCTATTTTTGGCTCGGCGTGACATGATGTGGATTGCATCAGTTCTATTAGATAAGCACAGCCGTGTGGACTGCACAGAAACGATCTTCATCTTATCTCCCAAGGTCTTCATCTCTTTCAGGGGGTCGGTTCATTAAGAGTCCTTACGAGACACGCATGCTAATCTTCAGCACATCATCTAAGGACTAACTCGTCTGATAAAGCAATGTGATTAATTGCAGCCAGAAGAGAAAAGACGAGATGTGACGAGAAGCAGAAAGAAGAGGAAAACAGTCTGCGAAAGAGAAGAAAGCGAGAGTGATTAAAGGACTCTCACACAGTGACTGGCCCTCAGGTGAACCTGGTTCGTGGTGTTCTTATCATCTTCCTGTGAGGGAGTGAGGAAAGAGAAGTCATTAGTTTGAGTTCTCCGTCTGTGCTGGTGTGTGTGTGTGTGTGGGGGGGGGGGGG